GGGAGGGCGGGCTCTTCTCTCCACTGACGTCACTTTGTTGGAAGGCCTGTTTTATGGCCGGTTGTGTGATCCTGTTGTTGGAGGGAGATTATCGTTTATCCCATGGATGATTATCGTTTATTCCATGGATCCACCCGATCGTTTATCCCATGAATCCACCCAAATAGGCCTTTCATGTAGTGGCGGGTGGAGTGCAATTGGAGATTGTTGGACTTGATCAGGTCGAGCAGTGAGGATGGTCCACAGTCTGTGGTCAGTTATCTTGCTACAGTTAGCTCCATGTTATCATCATCATCCATAAAAATTAGCTTAGGTGAATGGAAAACAACAGAGTTAATCATCAGATAAAAAAAAACTCACATTTTTTTTTTTACTGTGGAATTTTGTTTTAGGTATTTTTAAGTTTGACGTTCGCGTAAAGTTTACCACCTGTTTGTCACATTTGATGTATTGTGTTACTATTGGATTGGCACAATGGGCCGATTTTCGTATTTTGGCCTGTTGTGCCGATTTAAGGGCCACGAATGTATGTTCATATAACGTAGTTTTTATCGTTTATTACATTTGTTTTAGACATGCTTGTATATTTCAGGTAATTTATTCTCATTAGTGATACCATTATTTTTTTACATTAGTTTATTTTGTTACAAATTTTTTATTGTTTTATTACAGTACTTGTTTTTAGAAGAAGCGGTCAATATTTCTCATTTCATTACTGACGTCTCTGGAATGGGATTATATTCATGCTTATCGTTGGAGGCCTGACGCTGAACATATCATCAAATTTACTTCTAATTATTTGTAGTTATTTCCCGTCAGTACGCAATGGATACAAGGAATGCTTTTTCAAATATGTTTTTTTATTACATCCTATAATATTATTTTATAACCTTATTATTAGAGTTGACTATTTTGTGATATTATTTTCTTCCTTTATATTATACATTTTATATCATTATATTATTTTTTATCCACCGGGATCTTGGAAGTAAATATACAGTCTTCGTGTAATGTATTTTCAAGGAATGATATTATACTGCATGTAGTGTAACATCAATTAATTTTATTTTATACTTCATATTATTATGTTTTCAAACAGAATTTTAATTATTTTTTTTCAGATCATCAATATTTAAAAGATCAAATTGTTATATGATTTTCATGGGCATCAATCGCGTAATATTCATGCAACGTTTAAATATAAGTAGTATAACATTCTTATTAAATTCTTTTGTAGTAGACAGGCTCTGATAGTCCAATTAATTCAAGATTATTATAATTTAATATCTTATACATTACATGAATTTATATAAGTACAGAATTTACTAATTAAATAGTTGCTTACATATTAACCAACAGCTGAAAAAAACGCATTACATCAGAGATAGTTTCAATTATTCTTTAATAAAACCATTGCATTACAGATTAACTAAACATGTCACTATAGTTTTGTAGAGTGTTCAATATTTACAATCATAGATAACCTAGATTTTTCTTTTTTTTTCTTTCATTACTTCAAATATTCATACGTCACATGGAACACAGTATCAATCTATGGCACATGTATAATTTTTATGTATAAGTACCATTAAAATATAATGAGTTAAGGGAAGATGAATCAAAAATACAACAAACAAAAATAAATTGTCATACTTATTTATTATCAAACATTGTATTTCACTTTATATTTTATACACATTACATTTTTTACTTTAACATTTAACAAGAATAATCCATCCATTCAGAAAAAAAAAATCCCAAACATATCTGAAACATTGGACTTATCGATATCAATTATTCTAGTTATTTCAATATTTATAAATTTATTTTGTATCGCATTACTCATCTAAATTAAAATTAAGCTGATGAAGCAGAGGAAGCGACAACAATGCATAACATTATATGCAATATATTTATTTTTCAGGTTATTTCTCGTCATGCATGACACCATTTAGATGAGATTCGTTTTATATTTTTTTGTTTTGTTAGTTAAACATTACACTTTTGTCATTATTGTAAGGAGAGTATCAAGAATGATTCGAGCTAAAAATGTATATTTGCTTAATATAACCTTGAGATTTCAGTGTTACATCCACCTGATGCTGTGAGCTGAGAAGACATAAAGCTGTATCTTATTATATGTAAAATATTTATTAATTGCATTGCGGAACATCAGCTATTTTATCCACATAAATGTATTTTCATTATTTCATATTGTTATGTTCGGATTTATTTCATTTCTCCATTACATATATTTACTTCATATAAATAAATATTGGGTTGGGAGGGAGCTTCAGGGTATCATTTGACCTGAAACTGGACGATGGAGTGGTATGACAACCGGAGTCTAGGAGGGAGTAAACACTATCATTTTCTTTATCCTACCGATTCGATTGTGGTGGTGTGAATTCTACTCCAACAGTTTCAGTGAGATTGACGCGCCCTTCTTTACAAACCATCCTGTAGGAAGCTTAATAAGTATTGCGAATTGTGTTATTCAATTTGTTGGATCGTATCGTTGGAAGGAGATTCTTAAATTCCCGTGGATTTCGTGTAAGTGTCTCTGCTTACGGGTCCGCACCTCCGTTTTTGGCCCTTCATACAGCGATATTGTGAATTCAGATCGGTAGCTCAAATTGATCTTGCTATTAAGTGGAGCTGCATACAAGACAAGATCTTCGAAGGGATGGTGGCTACCTTACATACATACATACATACATCTTTATTAAGGAGACTTTCAGCCCTGGGCTGGTTCGTCTCCGGATAAAAATAAGATGACCGCTTTTAATTTATGCAACATACAAAAAGATTTTGGCATTGCTGCCGTGTGGAATTTTTTTATTGCATGGAAAGGGCCTTGTGATGCTTTGGGAGGACTATTGAAACGAAATGCTTTAAAATTTTAAAATTGTAGAAAAGTATACGAGGAGGAAGGTGGGATCTGCAATGTTTGAAACTTGGTCTACGTGGTTTATGGGTAGCCCCCAGGCTGAACTGAATGTTGTACCCAGCATGTAAGTTACTCATATATTTTGTTAGTCACAGCAGCTTTGACTCGATGGAGTAATGCGAACTACCTTCGGTCTTCATCGTTTTTGTTACGTATTTTTTCATATAAAATCAAATATCTCTGAATGTTTCAAGATTTTCCTTAAAATTAAATTAAACATCTTTCATTTTAAGGGTCAACTGCAAAATCTTTCTTTTTTCTATGGAATTGCTGAACTCACATAACAATAGGGGAAAGGGCTCTAAAGTTGGTCTACGGGTATAAGATTGGGCCCATCGCTAAAAATATGCTATTTATCAATTTTATCTAGATGAACGCGTCATTAAGACGGTACTTATGGATATTTTTGGTCACTATTGAAAATTTAGTCGATTGCTGAATTTATGTATGGGCCCAAATTAAAGACATTCAGGCCAACATTACATTCGTTGCCACTATAATGTCATTTATAAAATTTTAAAAAAAATATAAAGGCAACTTAATTTTTATGATGAAGCAACTTACGTACCCAAACTTCCTTTTTTCAAACATCTATACCTTACAAAATGCACGTGTTGTTTAATATAAGTACTTAAGCAATTACAAAGTTCACTGCTTATGTATTTTGAGCGTGCATCTCATAATTTAAGATCCCATTAAGTGCGTTACTTTTCTATTTGCCAGTTTCGTTACGATTTCCTACTTTGTTTTTAATTACCGAAAGTGAAATTTAACTTAAAATGTATCATGAAACAGATAAGTGAAACCCATAGCATTCCTGAGTAATTACCCTTTTCTTTTCCAGTGTTTATGTATGCTATCATTTTTGCTTTCATCCTCTGAAAACTTCCATCTGACATTTCGTTATTTTCTTTTTTATAAATCTATTCAGCTAGAGTTTTTTTTTTTTTAATTTACTTTTTTAGCTTCTACCAAATTAATGAGAAGTCACTTACGAATTTACTTAAGTAAGATTGAATGTATGTTAGAATAACATCAGGTTGGACAAAATGTGCTTACGAAAAAGGTTTATCAGAAATATTTTTTTATTTCATGGAAGGTAGAATTTGCAAATTGAATACAAATTAAGGGCTCCACCATAAAAAAATAAACCAGGGACTCTGGATAGTAAGGACAGTATAGACGGCCCTGGATCAGACTCGACCTTTCCTGATTTGCATGAAACTTTGCATAATCTTTTGTTATGGGCCATTATTCACATTTCTGCTGAAATTTGGACATTTTTTTTCCCCAAAATTAAGTGGAATTTTTCAATAAATCGTAGCACGAAAACTTCACTTCTAATCGAAATGACATCTGTTACAAAATAAGTGACAAAAAATTAAAAAAAAAACGAAGTTTTCTCGATCAATATTTTTGATTTCATTAAAATAACAAAAACTTTCAACTTTTCTACGCTGCCCGGAATTGAAATCAAATTGTCACGCGCGGGGCAAGTGACTATGCACTCAGAAATGTATTGTATAATCCTTATTTACCATAAGTTTTATTTGGCAAAACAATATACTTTAATATTTTTTTATTTCAAATAACCATTGCATTGTGCATTGAGCTATGTTATATTGTGAAGCAGGCAACAAATATTGTTGAAACATTAGGGAAATATTTTCTACATTTCCTGGTAGCACTGTCCACACCACACGAGCTCTCTTTTCTACCTCTCTCACAATCGCCGTAACCGGTTTCCCACGTTTTAGCTCGCCACTGCCGGTACCTCTTCGGCAGTCTATAAACGCGCGCAATTTGCTTTCGATCTTGCAACTCCATCATCACCGTCCTACAGTGCCAGCGTGCTCTGCATCTCTGGTAGGCGGAACTCAGCTTGGTGAGTTGCTGATTGTTTTTCATGCTTTCGGTGGAAACATCGGGACGGGAACCCACTCTCTGAGCTGCTCTTCTTCCGCCGTCTGGTGCGGGTGCGATGTGGTGCACTCTCAGACAACAGCGAGCTCGGTGACTGGTTCCTGTGTTGCTGTTGCTTTCCATCTTCTAACACTCTTCAGTCGTATTTCGATCGCGAAAAGTGGATGTTTGCTAACTGAATCCGGTCTATCGTCATTGTTTGAGTCTAGCATGGTGTGTATTTGTAAATTTTGGACTACTGTTGTCGTCGTTGCTCTGTCTTCCAAGTGATAAGGAGCCGCCAATGATGTTTTCGGTGAAGTGCTACTGAATGGAAGATCGCGTTTGCGAGTGATCGTGGGTGCGCAATCTTGGTTGTAAGTGGCTCTTTTAGCTGGTGCTGTATTGTGCAACGAAGAAGCGAGTGACTTCATGATATAATTTTGTTTTGTATTGTCTCATGGGTTTCATTGCGAATAGAAAGTGGGTACAAGAACATCGGAAAGTTGAATAAAACCGAACGTTGATAACAAGTGATTGGTGCGGGTGCTGTTCCGGCTGGTAGCAGAAGAATCCATATGATATCTATGGTGTGTGATGTGCATCTGATAGTATCTGTCACGTTGTTCTGCAAGCAGTGATTGCTGATGCTAGTTGAGTATTTTTGGTGGCGTTTCGAAAGTCAACGCTGGCAGCAGTGAGACATTTCACCAATTACGATTCAATTGTGAAGCCGCGAGCATTGTGTATGTAATAAAAGTTTTTGCAACACTCCTCAGAGTCAAACATCAGACGTGTTGATCGTACTAATTTGGTTATTGTTTTTGTGTGCACATACAGAGTTGGAGTAACCAAAACCGAGTGGACAACTTTAGGCTGGGCCCAGTTGTGAGTATTGGGAATACAGAAGTGAGAGATTAAGCCGGAGGCACTTCCATGACAAATACAAATTTTGAAGCAAATTGAATTTGGTGTTCGGTTTGTGACCTATATTGTGTGACGACAGACGAAACAGCAGTGTTTTAAAATAAGAAAAAAGAAGCGACACGCCTAAAAGGAGCAAAACGAGAAAAAATCATACCCGGAGAGGAAGAAAACAAAAATATATTTTAAAATTCAAAAAGTGGTCATTCGTGCCCAAGGAATAACAATAACCAGCAAGAGCAGCAAAGAGCGACCGCCGAGACGCACAGGAGGAGGAAAGCGTTGGATCTTAGGGGCCAGTCAAAGCGGCAGGCAAAAAAGGTGAGATCTCGTTAAAGAAAGTTTTTCGAAACGATTTTCTTTCTGTTTTCGATAGTAAATGTATATGTGTATGTTTCTCAACATATTTTTTTGTTTTCGCGCCCGCGTCGTCCCCCATGTGCTCGATTGCTGATTTATATTCACTAGCTATCAAAATCATCTTTTCACGAATCCCACGAAGGCCCAGCGGCAAAGTCAATCCTCTTATCGCATAGCGTGGTTACTACTGGTAGACTAGTCTACTGTCGGGCGGTGAGCCGTTTTGATCATTTCTCATTTTAATCCAATAGCTTCGTGAAAATCCCTCAAAAAGCAAAGATTTACAATGTATGGGCAACGTTTGGAGAAATCCAACACTTCTCCTGCCAGTCAACAATAGAAAACCCTACACAAATAATGTGCGCAGAAAGATGAAAGTGTTTTCCTCTCCACATTCGTTTTATCACGTTCTCTGCATATTTGCCTTCCATTGAGAAAAAAGTTTTGCAATAACGATAAGACTTGCTAGTACGACTACGACAGAAAGTGTCGGTGAGACCATCTGGCTGTGGTTCTTGCCGTGACGTTTCACTTTGCTGTGATAACGAAGGCAGAAGTTGTTTTTGAACTATTGTCACACTTACTTAAGATAAGTATGCATACATCGTATTTTTCTCTCATACATTCAATTAATTTAATTTGTTTTTATTAATTCAAATGCTATGCAACATTTAACTCTGTACTAAAATGCTACACCTGGGCTTTAAACCATAGTATGGATTATGAATTTTATTTTTTCATCAAAGTTATGCGAAATATATTATAAATCAACGCAATTGCAAGTCATTAAATTAGCGTTCAATAGTTCTTTAAAATTATTTAGAAAATCTCCCTTCATTCCATCACGATCAAACGAGAATATTACACTTTTCGGTTGGGTGTAGGCCGTACACCATAAAACCAATGAGCCAAAAACACGAGCTTACATAAAATGGGTTCTAGATAAAAACTTAATGATTCAAGGGTTTCAAAATACTGTAATAATGCTGACTTGACAGTTTGGTTGCTAATAATTCGTCATAGCAGTTTTCTCCTTCATTGAGATATGAACAGTTCTTCAAAGTCAAACAGTGGCAATGATTTTGACATTGTTGATTGATTATTCATCGACACTGTTTGCCTTCTTGTAATTGCAGCTCGTTTTCTTTTTAATGGAAGTGGAACAACTCAGATGCCGTATGATGGAATGGGTATCACTGTTAAAATCTCGACTCAATAATTAATTCGGTCTAAAGCATAATCTAGGAATGGAATTACAATAATTGCGTGTATTTCGGATTTAAATTAGGAAATTAAAAAACTTTCTGGAATAATAAATTTGATGTTATGTGTATTGTCTGAAAAAACGATAAACAAATTATTCAACATAATTTTAATGGGGTTTTACATTTTTTCCTGGAGACCGGTTTCGGGTAACCAACATAACACACTCGGGTTTCATCTTAAAAAGTTTATTTTGACGTAGGACTACGTCTGTGATTTCTATATGGGGGTACACTTTGCGAAAACCGAAAATGGAACATGTAACAAAATTATGAAAGATTTTGAACGTTAATAACTCAGCTGCCTCTGGACCAATTTCATTAGTTTTATCACCAACCATTCAGAAATATTTTTACGCATCTGTTATATTTAACACTTTATCATTTTCCAAAGTGTTACTGTTGAAAATTGCACGAATGTGCAACTATTGCTATGATAATTAAGATTGTCACCGATTGCCTGCGAAAAGCAATTTCCTTAACACAGATTTCAAAGTTCAATTCCATCCGGTCTCACCAAACTGTGTTTATTCAATCACCGCGTGGCGAGTAGTGGTGTTCTCCAATACACAACGAAAGGCTGCCTGCAAGCAGCAAGCTGCAACCCACATGAGCATCCATAGTAGGAAGAAGAAGCCGCACCGCTATAGATCGGAATCAGTACACGGATAGAAATTTCCTTATACTTTTTGGCAAATTTCTATTGCTGATTATTCATAAAATATATAAGACGCCTTGCAAAAAGTGAATGAAGATCATGTGTCAAATGAAATATATAAGCGGTCACACATACCTTTTACGCATTCTTATAGGACCTATGTGGTTTGTCTTATGGAATGTATAAGGCTGATGTTTTGGCAGAAATGTATAAGTGAAACACATGAATAAAATGATTGATTTTCGTTTCGTGTAGCTGTTCGTGGGTCATCTATGTCAAACACGAGATACTAAAGAGTATAAACAGAGAGAACCCCGCTCAAGTTCCTATTCCTAAACAAAACCCATGCTCCTGCTGCAGTTAACAAATTAGATTTATTGTATAAGACCACGTAGTCCTACGTCACCAATTTCGTACAACCCCATAGAGCTGTCCCTTATAGTTTATTTTTAATTTCTTTCTCTGTATTTAATAGGGTAACCCTAATAAAAATAACCATAAAAGAGAGCTTAACGACGTGTTTGGGGTATCATCTAAACCATTTGTGGAATAGTTTACCCAACCGGGATACAGTTCGTTTATGGTGTTTGTTTATCAGGGAAGTTTCAAAATATGAACGCTCCAGGTGATAATGGAATTTTCAATATTCTCAGCAAAAAACTCATTGCTTGGTAAAATTATTCAAAAAAATTTTCCATTTGGCATACTTTCCTGATAAATGGAAAAATGCAAAAATTGTTCCAATTTTGAAGCCGGAGCTGAAGCTTCTAGGTACTGTCCAATAAGTTTGCTTTCTTCAATAAGTAAACTCCTTGAAAAGATAATTTTGAATAGAATGTTGCTTCACATCAATAAGGACTTATTTTTTGAAGATGAGCAGTTTGGATTTCCCCATGGGCATTCAACTACTAATCACATCTTATGAGTTACCAATTTAATTCGCTCAAACAAATCTGAAGGCTGCTCAACTGTAGTTTAATTTTCCGCTCTATATTATGAGATTAGCTCAAAATTATTTAACTGACAGAACTCTGTTGGTAAATTATCAAAATTCCAAATCTGATCGACTACCTGAAAGATCTGGAGTTCCTCAGGGTAGCAGTCTTGGGCCTATATTGTATAACATTTTCACTTTCGACCTCCCTGATTTGCCTCAGGGTTGCCACAAATCTTTGTTCGCTGATGACATAGGCATTTCCGCTAAAGGAAGAAGTCTTCGTGTCATTTGCAGAAGACTGCAGAAAAGTTTAGATATTTTCTCTTCTTATTTCCAAAAATGGAAGATTTCTCCCAATGCTTATAATATTTCCACATAAGCCTAGAGCTGCCTGTTGGTAACCTAGTAGTAGTCACATGCACACCATGAACGGAGTTCCAATCAGTCCGCATCGTGCTCTCTTGCCGTGCGGATCTATTTGCTTTTTGCTGAAGGAAGTGTTACTACTACCTAAAGCTACAACAAATTTAAACAGCACTTTTCAGTGCTCAACCTGTAAAAATTTTCTACCTTGTTCAACTCTTATTCCTCTTCGATCCTTGTTTGGACCCTACCCGAGGTAATCTTTCTTGGATATCGATTTGGAAAATTCCTCTTCGATCCTTCAGATTCTTATAGTAATCTGCTTGGAAGTCGATTTGGATAAAAATTTACTGCCGCCATGGCGCCTAAACGCAAAAGAAAGGGGCAAACTCTTGACCCCCCTTCTGATGAAATTAATTTGAGTAATCAATTTGATTTGCTCACGGATGATGAGAATGATCCATCATCCAAGAAAAATTCTAGTAAACTTTCCCGGCTTAATGCCAAGAAGGAAAAGATTCCCCCTATTGTGATAACCACTACCGATTTCCATGCTCTTCGCATGGAACTTTTGAATTTCGTGAAAGTTAAGTTTTCACTACAAATTGGACGTCGGGGTGAATGCCGTGTATTGGCTGAAACCTTGGACGGATTTAAATGTCTTCTCAAGTATCTTACTGAGAAGAAGCACAAATTTTTTACTTACGACACCAAAACTGAACGTGTGTTCAAGGTTGTCATGAAAGGACTGCCCAGTGGTGAATCCCTGGATCAGATCAAAGATGAACTGGCAAAATTACTTGGAGTTGTGCCACTCCAAGTAATCAAAATGAAAATGAAATCCCGTCCTGGCGATTCGCGCAACGGTATTTCTAATGATTTTTATTTAGTTCACTTCAAGTCTAGTGAACTAAACAACCTTAAGGCCTTAGAAAAAGCTAGCCTTATGCTCCATGTCCGAGTGAAGTGGGAACACTTCAGGAAGACTGGAGGAAATTTCCAAAACCTCACCCAGTGCCGTAAGTGCCAGGGATGGGGTCACGGAACTAAAAATTGCTACATGCCAGCTAAATGCATGAATTGTGGTGATTCCTCTCACGCAAAGGACGACTGTCCTGTGAAGGAAGATCCTAAGAAATTTAAATGTTCAAATTGTGGTGAAAACCACAAATCCAATTTTTGGGAATGTAAGACTCGCAAAGCGATCCTACAATCTCGTTCTAACCGTCAGGTAGGAAACGCTCCACGTTTCCGACCAGGTACAAATTCCTCTGCTGTTAACAACGGTCAGCGAGGAACAAATTCTACATTCGTACCCGTAGGTACAAATATCACCCCTGCTTCAAATGTTTCATCTGTACCTACTCCCCTTGCTGCTAACAATGTTCAGCGAGTTAATGGAGCTACCTATGCTGCTATTGCAGCGGGTAGAAATCAAAATACTAACCAACGGTCTAACGGAAATTTTGACAATTTTGACTTAGGAAGCATTACTGCCCCCAAAATGGAATTTTTACAGAAATCATTAATTGACATGATTTCTGATATGCTTAAATCTAACTCCATGTTTGATGCTATTCAAACTGGAGTAAAATTTGCAAATAATATTGTCATGACTTTAAAATTCAGTAATGGATTTTAAAGCACTAAATATTGTAAATTGGAATGCTCGATCTCTTAAAGATAATGAAGACGAGCTATTTAACTTTTTGCGAGTTCATAACGTGCATATTGCCGTTAT